GGCACCCAGACCACAGGGCTCCTCTCCGCAGGCGGAACGGCAAGGTGGGGCTGTCGGGCATGGCCATCGCGGACATCACCCTCCTGAGCGGGTTCCACGCCCTGCGGGCTGACCTGGAGAAGGTGGGTCGTGCCCTCAGGAGCCCGGCTCCGGCTGCAGGGACCCTCCGTGGCCACCACCTGGTGACCCTCTCCTTTGCAGCTGACGTCCCTCTCTGACCGTTACGTGAGCCACTTCGAGACCGAGGGGCCCCACGTCCTGCTGTACTTCGACTCGGTGAGCAGGGGGGTGGCGGCGTGGGCTCTGCTGCTCTGCGGCTGGGGGCGGGGCACTGCGAGCGGCCAGCGCTCCCAGGGAGGCAGGACATGAGGGAGGCCATGCTGGCCGGGACAGGGGCAGGGGCCGGGGGCAGGGACCGAGGGTGGGGCAGGGGCTGGGGCAGGGGCAGGGCCGGGGCAGGGGCCGGGGCAGGGGCAGGGGCTGGGGCAGGGGCAGGGGCAGGGGCAGGGGCAGGGGCCGGGGCAGGGGCAGGGGCCGGGGCAGTGGCAGGGGCAGGGCCGGGGCCCCTAATGTGGTTTGGGGCCAGTCAGCAGGGGGTGCGGAGAGTGAGCCTGTCAGAAAGCCGACTGTATTCACCCTGAGGGTTTGCTTTGTGGTCGTTTTCACTGACGTCCGAGGAAAGTGTCCTTTCTTTCAGGAAGTGATGTTGGTCATAGTGAGTGGTCTTTGTGTCTGTGGCCTCCTTGGCTAAAACAAAGTTTTCAACCCTCTGATGGCCCTCAGCGTGTTTGGATGTTTACTGAGGGAGCTGGGATGGGGCGGGGGGGGGGGGGGGCGGTGCCGGCTTCGCTGCCCCCTCACGTGGGCCTGCGGGTCCCAGAGGGCGAGCATAGTGGCCGCAGCTGCCCTAGTGGCAGAGGAAGGAGGCCCTGGATGTGTCCGTGGTGAAGCGAGGCTGCCAGGAGGGGTGGGGGGCAGGCAGAGTGGCTTTGGAGAATGTGTGCATCCTGCGAAAGTCCTAATGGAGGAGCAAGGCTGACGGTTTTGTTTGGCGATCAGCCGAAGGGGCTGGTGAAAGCTGGGCCGTGGGGGAGACCGGCGTAGGGGAACGCGAGGAAGGCAGGCGAGGGGAGGTCACAAACAACCCGTCAGCAGCAGAGACGCCCAGAAGCGAACCCTGAGCTTAAGGGGAGCTGCACGTGGTGTGTCCTGTGTCCGCGAGGCGACGCCGTACAGGCACCCGGGGACCGGGCGGGCCGGGGAGGCCACCCTCTGGGCAGTGAGGTCAGCAGGGACCTTGGGAGCAGTTGTTAGTGTTCTGGCGGCCGGAAGGTAACAGAATGTGAAGGACACTGAAGATGAGACAGCGGACACCAGAGGCAGGCCAAGGAGTGTCACACGGGCCTGTGGGGCCCTGACCGCCCCCCCCCCCCCCGCCCCCCGCAGGTCCCCACCTCCCGGGAGTGCGTGGGCTTTGGAGCTGTGCAGGAGGTGGCCGTGGGGCTGGTGCAGCCGGCCAGCGCCACCCTGTACGACTACTACAACCCTGGCAAGTACCCGGGGCACCAGGACTGGGGCTGTGGAGGGGCAGGGAGGTCCTGGGGCTCCAGACTGGCTGGCAGGAGGGCAGGTGCCCTAACGCCCTCTCTGCTCTCCTCAGAGCACAAGTGTTCTGTGTTTTACGGGGCACCGACTAAGAGCAAACTCCTGTCCACGCTGTGCTCCGCGGACGTCTGCCAGTGTGCAGAGGGTGAGGCCCCGGGCAGGGGAGGGGGGGCGGGGGGCGGGGAAGGGGCTGGGGCTGGCCGGCCTTGCCTCACCTGGGCCCTGCCTTCAGGGAAGTGCCCTCGACAGCGGCGTGCCCTGGAGCGGGGGCAGATGGAGGAGGAGGGCTACAGGATGAAGTTCGCCTGCTACTACCCCCGCGTGGACTACGGTCAGTCCCCCGCCCTCAGGGCCTGGGGGCGGGGCGGGGGGGCGCCCGCAGGCAGCCCGGAGCTCACCTTCCTCCCGTCCCGAACTCCCACACAGGCTTCCAGGTTAAGGTTCTCCGAGAAGATTCCAGAGCTGCCTTCCGCCTCTTCGAGACGAGTGTCGTCCAAGTGCTGCACTTCTGTACGAGGGCCGGCCGGGTGGAGGGAGCTGCGGTCGGCCTGGCGCCTGGAACAGGGAACGTTCAGGGGCGCTGAGCTTACACCCCGCGGCCTCTCAGGAGCGCGGGGCTTGTCACGGGAAGGCAGCTCCTGTGGGAGTGGCGGGCTCAGCGGAGGGTGTGCAAGGCCTGGCCGTGCCCCGTCCCCTCTGACAGCTCTCATCCCGTCCCCCTCAGCCAAGGATGCCCAGGCCGCTGCTGGTCAGACCCGGAACTTTCTGGTTCGAGCCTCTTGCCGCCTTCGCTTGGAACCCGGGAAAGAATATTTGATCATGGGTCTGGACGGGACCACCCACGACCTCAAGGGACAGTGAGTTCGCTGGGCCCTGGGTCTCTTGCTGCCCTCACACCTCCTGAGGGCGAGGATCCCCAGCACCAGGCCCTGCCCCTCGGGTGCCAGGTGCCAGGTGCCGCGGGCTCACTCCCGTCTGCCCGTCCGGAACCCGCTGACGGCCCTTTGCTCCCACAGACCCCAGTACCTGCTGGACTCGAACAGCTGGATCGAGGAGATGCCTTCTGAGCGCTTGTGCCGGAGCACCCGCCAGCGGGCAGCCTGCGCCCAGCTCCGCGCCTTCCTGCAGGAGTACGGCACTCAGGGCTGCCAGGTGTAGGGCTGCTCCCCCGACCCCGGGAGGGGCCCAGGGCTGGGCCCGAGACTCAATAAAGACCTTACACAGCCAAGCGTCCGTGTGTGTGTCCCAGCCCTGTGGCTTCTAGGTCCTGGCCGGCCAGGGTTTGCGTAATCCCGGGCTGTCGGAGCCTGGTGGCCCTCCCGGTGACTCCCCAGGAGCTCAGTCCCTCATCAGACCACCAAGCAGACTTGTGACCCGCAGCCTTCGCCCGTGGACCCGGCCTCCACACCGTGGCCTGGCTTCACCGTGCCACAGGCCCTCTGCTGCCGGGGTGGCCAGTCTCGCCGGCGGTCCCGGCACAGTTGTCCCCTTGGGCTGTTTTCGCTGCGACCTGGCCTGTGGAGAGCCTGTGCTGGTGGCAGTGGGAGCGCCGGGGTCTCTTCCGGGGCTGACCTTAGCCACGCCCAAGACTGCCTTTGTGTTTGCTGATCCTCTTCTACTGGGGTCAGCCCTCCCCACCCGCCCGCCTCGCTCCCTGCATTTGGGGGCGCCCTTGGGTCTGAAGGGCTGACCTAGAAATCCATCGAGAGGTTTGCTGACATCGCAGCCTGCCATTCAGTCGACAGAAACGGGCGGGCCTCTCCCCGTGCCCCGCGTGCCAGGCCCCGCCCTCAGGGTGCTGCTGGGGCGTGTGGTCCTGTGGGCACTGGTGGGGCACCTGACCTGGCCTGGGAGGGGCGGGAGGGCTGCCGGAGGCGGTGGCATCGGAGCTGGGCTCTGGAGGCTCAGGACTCGGGAGGAGGGCGAGGCTGGATGAGGGGTTTGAGGCAGGAGAGGAATGAAAGGCCAGGCAGGACAGCAGGGCAGGGCCCGGCGTGTGACGCATCAGGTTGGAATTTGGATTTGGTGGGCGGTGGAAGAGATGGGGCTGTTTACCAGCACGCCCGCTCTCTGGGTCACCCCACCCCCAGCCCCCCGCCCCGATTCCGTGCGACCTGAAGCCCTGGCCCCCCAGCACTGCAGAGGCTGCCTAGGCTGTGGTGTGTGCCCTGTGCTTGCCCATCAGGCCTCGCTTCCCACAGCCGTCACCATGCTGACAGCTATGCCCGTGGCTGCCAGCTGGGGCTCAGCTGCAGCTGTGGTCCCGTTTGCTGCCCACCCCACAGCCCCGGCCCGTGCCTCCCACCGGCTCTGCCACCGGGACCTGAGTTAATTCTCCACGCCAGTGGGTGGGACAGCTGGGACCTCAGCCCAGGCTCTCCAGCACACAGCCCGGGGCGCTGGGGTCAGTTTGGAGCCAGGGCTGAGGAATTGGCGTGGGCCTTGGGTCACCTCTAACCTTTAACCCCAGGAGGCCTAACCTCTCCCTGAGCCATGCCCTCCTCTTTGGCAGGGCCTCTCCCCAAGACCCTCCTCTGAGCCCTTCAACCGACACCTCATCCCTAAAATGGTTCCCTGATAGTCCTACGTGGTCCAGTGGGATCCTCTTACGGCTCCTGCTCTCAGGATGGGGCTGGACCCAGACCCCAGCTGTGGCTATTGGGCTCCTTCCTGGGGACTTTGGGGGCACGGGGGGTACGTTGAGTTGTGCTGGGAAGCCCAGTGCCCTTGGCTGGACCTTAACCTGTGGACTCTGACCCCAAAGGCAGTCCTGTTTGGCCGGCCCAAGGGCAGGTACCGCAGGCTGCAGAGCAGGAGGGCGAGGGGGCCGCCCCAGGGCCTCGCTCTCCCTGCCCCGGCTCCTGACCTCAGGGCCTGGGATACCCTGGAATTTATAAAGCAGTTTCTACTTTTGGCTTAAGTTCCTCAAGTTGGTCTCTTTCTTGCAACCAAAAAGCATCAGGCACATGGTAAGAGCTCCAAATTGGGGACCAATACAGTTCTTCATCTTCAGCTGTTGAGAGTGAAATGGGGTGATGATGACAATCACACGGGACTACAGGTCTAACGCGGGAAACCCGGCACACCAGCCGCGGGCTCCCGCCTGTGCATCGGGAGAACAGCACACAGACCGCTCAGCTCATCTTGTTTTCGGAGGGTCCTGGGGCCCGTGAGGCGGGGGCACCCTTTCCCGGGAGACAGACTGCAGCATCGGCAGAGGGAGGCGGCGGGGCCGGTGTGGGCCGGAGGCTGGTGCTGCCTGTGCAGGTCAGGGTCGCGCTCTCCTTCCGTTCTTGATGGATCACAGGGGAAAGGCCGGTTCTTTGAAATATGGGCTCCCCAAGGCCAACGGGCCTGCTGCCCTCCCAAGAATGTGCCATCCTGTGGGCGGGCCGGCGGCCGGGGCGAGGCGAGGAGTCAAGGGCCCCAGAGCAGCCCGGGCAGCAAGACGTATGGTGGGGCCCCCAGAGCTATAAGTGCCGCCCGGGCCGGCTGGGCCTCCAGCCATGCTGCTCCTCGGGCTGCTGCTGCTGCTGGCCGCGCTGGCCAGCGCCCGCCTGCTCTGGGGCCAGTGGCAGCGCAGGAGCCTCCACCTCCCACCTCGTGCCCCTGGCTTCCTGCACTTGCTGCAGCCCAACCTCCCCATCCACCTGCTGGGCCTGGCTCAGACCCTCGGGCCTGTGTACAGGCTCCGCCTTGGGATGCAAGGTGAGCGCCCCCCCATGCCCGCCTGCCTGCCCGCTCGGGCTCGAGGGGCAGGTGGCTCCCTGCTGACATGGCGTGGCGCTCCCCAGATGTGGTGGTGCTGAACTCCAAGAGGACCATTGAGGAGGCCATGGTCAAGAAGTGGGTGGACTTCGCCGGCCGACCCCAGATCCCGTCCTGTAAGGGCGGGGAGAAGTGGGCTGGGGCCGGCGGGGAGGCAGCCGTGCTTCCTGGCCCCTGACCCCACCCCCACTTGCAGACGAGCTGGTGTCCCGGCACAACCAGGACCTCTCCCTGGGGGACTACTCCCCGCTCTGGAAGGCGCACAAGAAGCTCACGCGCTCCGCCCTGCTGCTGGGCATGCGTGGCTCCATGGAGCCCTTGGTGGAGCGGCTGGCCCAGGAGTTCTGTGAGGTAGGCCCCCCACCCCACCCGCCCCGCCCGCCTCCCCTCCCCTCCCAGCAGCCGCCCTGCAGCCCGCTCCCCCCACAGCGCCTGCGGACCCGGGCCAGCACCCCGGTGGCCATCCAGGAGGAGTTCTCTCTCCTCACCTGCAGCATCATCTGTCACCTCACCTTTGGAGACCAGGTAAAGGCCCTCACGCTCACGCGTGCTCCGCCTGAGCCTTCCACCTCCGGCCCTGACCTGGCTGCACAGACTCCCCTCTCCCCCCTCCTCCCCTCCCCCCCGCATCCCCCTTCCCCCACTGCAGGAGGATGCCGTGGTGCACGCCTTTCATGACTGTGTCCAGGACTTGATGAGGACCTGGGACCACTGGTCCATCCACATTTTGGACATCGTTCCCTTTCTCAGGGTGAGGATGGGGGCCGGCCCCGGCCTGGGCGGGTGGGCCAGGCGCCCTTCTCACAGCCACTCTCTCCTGCTCCCTGCCCAGTTCTTCCCCAGCCCCGGCCTCCGGAGGCTGAAGCAGGCTGTGGAGAGCAGGGACCACATGGTGGAGGGGCAGCTGAGGCGGCACAAGGTGGGCACCCTGCGCGGACCGGCCCGAGCCCCGCAGCCGTGGGGCTGCCCAGAGAGAGGCAGCTCTGCAGCCCGTGCTCAGGAGCCTCCCTCCCCAGGAGAGCATGGTGACGGGCCGCTGGCGGGACGCGATGGACTACATGCTGCAGGGGGTGGGGAAGCCGCCGGCAGAGCAGGGCTCCGGGCAGCTCCTCGAGGGGCACGTGCACATGTCTGTGGTGGACCTTTTCATCGGCGGCACCTCGACCACCTCGACCACCCTCTCCTGGGCCGTGGCGTTTTTGCTTCACCACCCTGAGGTGCGCCCCCTCCGCTGGTGCAGGCTGTGCTGGCCGGCCGGGCTGCCTCCGAATCGGCACAAAGGCTCCTGCGGTGCTGCAGGGCCGGCGGCCCGCACTAGGCTTCCCCATTTCCCAGGTCCAGAGGCGACTGCAGGAGGAGTTGGACCGTGAGCTGGGCCCCGGGGCCTGGTGCTCCCGAGTCCCCTACAAGGACCGCGCGCGGCTGCCCCTGCTCAACGCCACCATCGCGGAGGTGCTGCGCCTGCGGCCGGTCGTGCCCCTGGCCCTGCCGCACCGCAGCACGCGGCCCAGCAGGTGACTCCCGGCGGGGGGCGAGTGGCGGCAGGCGGGCTCTGGCGAGCCTCTGACTCTACCCTGCCCTCAGCATCTCCGGCTACGACATCCCCGAGGGCACGGTCGTCATCCCCAACCTCCAAGGTGCCCACCTGGACGAGACGGTCTGGGAGCGGCCACACGAGTTCTGGCCTGGTGCGTGCGGTGTGGGGCTGGTGCCGTGGGTGGGAGTGTGCGGGCCGGTGCCCGCCGCTGACCCGGTCTGTCCTCCCCTCCCCCCGCAGACCGCTTTCTGGCTCCCGGCGGGAGCCCCGGCGCGCTGGCCTTTGGCTGTGGGGCGCGGGTGTGCCTGGGCGAGCCGCTGGCGCGCCTGGAGCTGTTCGTGGTGCTGAGGCGCCTGCTGCAGGCCTTCACGCTGCTGCCGCCCGCGGGCGCCCTGCCCTCCCTGCAGCCCCAGCCCCAGGGCGGCGTCAACCTCACGATGCAGCCTTTCCAGGTGTGGCTGCAGCCCCGGGGAGCGGACGCCCAGGGCCCAGGCCCGGGCCAGTGACGGGCAGGATGCGTGCCAGTCTCGTGCCTCAGTTTCTCCTTTTATTGCTTCTGTACACCCCCACCCCCTGTAAACAAAGTGCTGTGAGATCGCGGTGGAGGAAGCCTCCTCTGGGGCGGGCGGTGGCGAGCCCTGGCTCTCCTCGCGGCCCCTCAGTGCTGGGCGGCACGCCTGCCTGCGGCCGGAGCTGCTCAGCCTCCCCCGGCGGGTGCCTGGTAGCCTCTGGGTCTCAGCTTCATCTCCGTGAAGGGCACGGAGAACTCGAAGCCCTTCCAGTGGTACCAGCTCACTCCCTGGAAAGGAGGTGGAGTCAGAGCAGACCCCATCCGCTGCTCCCCCCTCCGCCCCCTGGTTCCCAGCAACTAATCAACCGCCTGCCCTCCCCGCTGCCCTCCCAACCCCAACGCAGAGGACGGAGGCTCCACCCTGAGCTGGTCCTTCCCACCCAATAAACCACTTCCTCCCCAGAGCGTGGCGAGGGCGCTGTTCCATCACAGATGAGGCCGGGGGCTCAGTAACTCCCCGCCCTGCGGTCAGCCAGCCAGGGGCGCACCTGGTGGTCCACTGTGCTCCCGTAGAGCCCGTTGAGGTTGGCGTAGTGGCAGTTCCTGTACCACCAGGCCCCTCGGTAGGAGACGGCGCAGGAGATGAGCAAGTTGTTGGGGTCGCGGTCTCGGGCAGAGAAGACACTGCCACTGTGGTAGCTCATGGAGTCCCCTGCGGGGCGGGGCAGGGGCGGGGGGGGGGGGCAGGGTGCGGAGTGAGGGCCTCCGCTGCCGCCACGCGCCCAGGCCCAGCCCTCACCTGCCTGCGCCCGGGCCCAGCCCTCACCTGCCTGCGCCCGGGCCCAGCCCTCACCTGCCCGCGCCCGGGCCCAGCCCTCACCTGCCCGCACCAGGGCCCAGCCCTCACCTGCCCGCACCAGGGCCCAGCCCTCACCTGCCCGCACCAGGGCCCAGCCCTCACCTGCCTGCGCCAGGGCCCAGCCCTCACCTGCCCGCACCAGGGCCCAGCCCTCACCTGCTGTGCCGTGGTAGCCCTCCAGGTGGAGGCGGTAGTAGTCAGCAGCCGAGTCTACCCGGAAGGAGTCGTACTGGGCGAACGCCACCTCGCCCCCAGCCCGCAGGTCCACACGCATGGAGTAGTCCCCGTGGCTGGTCAGGCTGTGCAGGGCCTCGTTGCCTGGGGGCGGGACCCTGCTCTCACCGGGGCTCTGCTGTGCCCGGGGGCCGCCCCTTCCCTGTCCCCCCAATCCCTGTGTGGCACTGACCCAGCCAGAACTCCCCGGAGACGTTCCCAAAACCGTGGGCATAGTCCTCCCAGTCCCTCCAGAAGTCCGTGCGTCCATCCATGCGGCGCTGGAACACCTGGGGAGCAGGTGGGCACCGTGAGGCTGTGACCTGGTGCGGCAGCCGCCCGAGCCGGCCCCGGCTTCCGCTGCACCCACCAGCCAGCCGCCCCCGTCAGTCTCCATGTCACAAAACACGTCCAGTGGCCGCGCGCGGTTTCCATTGAGGAAGATGGTGGTGGTTCTGGAGGTGCCCGCCCCATTCTGCATCTCCTCCCCACAGTCCCGGGGAAAGGGGACCTGCAGTCCACCTGGGGGAGCACAGGGAGGGTCAGTCCTTCTTTCAAACCCTAGACCCCTGCTGCCCACGCCGCCCGCCCCCGCCCCAGCCCCAGGCACCAGTGGTGAAGGAGGTGGACATGGGCGGCGTGAGGGCCTCGCCCCACATGGCCCGGAGCCAGGCTCTGTAGGTGGTGGAGGGGAAGAGGCCCAGGAGCTGGTGAGAGGTGACACTTCCTGGGAGCAGGATCTCCTGTGGGACAGAGAAGGGGCTGGTCGGGGACACGGAGGCGGAGTCCCACTAGGGGAGGCAGAGGCAGAGGCAGCCCCTGGAATGGAACCCAGGGAGGGGCGTGGCCAGTGGGCAGGGGTGGGGCACCTGGGTCTGTCCATCAGGGGTGTCGTAGGTGAGCAGGTAGCCAGTGGGCAGGACTTGGGGCTCAGTCCACGTAAGCAGGGCCGTGCGGGGGGTCACTTCTTTGGCCTCCAAGTCCCGGGGGCCCTCCAAGCCTTGCAGGGGAATGGGGAAGAGAAGATGGAGATGAGGCCCTTCCTTGCACCTGCCCTCCCCTTCCCACCCCTCCCAGGAGGTACCTGTGGTGAAGACGATGCTGGCTGGAGAGGTGAGGTTGGGGCCCCGAAGGCCATGCACGGTGGCTGTGTAGTTGGTGTGGAGCTCCAGGCCCTGCAGGGGGTAGTCCACAGCGCTGCCCGGGGCTGAGGCCTGTAGAGGGGGGGCTGGGCATGGGGGGGGGGGGTGGCGCGTCAGAGGCTGCCTGCGGCCCTGCCTCAGCCCAGGCTGCCTCCGCTCTTCCCACCCACACACGTCCCCTCTGGAAGCCCGAGCCCCGCTCACCGCCTGGGGCTGTGACCCGGACAGCATAGGTGTCCACCGGAGCCTGGGGCGGCTTCCAGTGCAGCCTGGCGGTTCCCTCCGTCAAGTTCAGTGCGCGCAGCTGGGTGGGGCCGTCCGGAACTGGGGGAGGGGAGGCTCAGAGCGGACCTTCCTTCCCCAACCCTCCGACACCCCTCCCCTCTCTGGCCACCCCACAACTCCCGCCATGGCCGCCTGCGCCGCCGGCCGCCCGCCTCTCACCCGTGGTGAGGAAGCCGGTGAGCGGCTCGCTCTCCTCGAAGCCTCGGACGGACACCACGGTCACCTCATAGTGGGCGCCTGGGACCAGCCCCCCGAGCTGCTGGGTCCGGGCTCTGCCGCCCACCAGCACACTCTGTGGCTCCCCTGGAAACACAGTGGGCTCAGGAGGCTGCAGGGCGCCAGGAGGGCTGCAGGGTGGGCAGAGCGGAGGGCGCAGGGGATGCGAGACCAACGCGGACATGGGCAAGGGGGTCACCTCCGTCCACCAGCTGGTAGGACACTTTGAAGCTGTCGGCTCTGGACGGCGGGGGCGTCCAGCTGACCTTGGCTGAGGTCTCCCCAATGTCGCTGAACTGTAGGTCCCGGGGGCTCTCCAGAACTGAGGGCGAGATGTGCCGAGTAATGAGGGTGAGGGCATGGGGCGGGGCTCCTGTCCGGGGTCCCCCCTCCCGCCCCGGGCCTGCTGACGCCAAGCCTGGCCACAGCGCCAGCCCCCTGGCCCGGGCTCACCTGGGCTGAGGGTTCGGGCCGTGCCCTGCACGCTGTCGGCCTGGTGGGGCCCGCGCAGCCCATACAGCGTCAGGCTGTACAGGGTCCCAGGGCGCAGGTCCCGGAGCACGGCCGAGAGCTGCGTCCCTGGCACGGTCACCTCCCGCTGCAGCAGGGGACGCAGATGCGGCTCCAGAGTGCTTGCTGATGGGACCCCGTAGCGGAGCAGGAAGGAGTCGAAGGCCCCAGGGGGCGCCTCCCAGTTGAGCCGCAGGGAGCTGGTGGTCACGTCGGTCACGGACAGCTGGGACAGCCGGGGCCCCGGTCCCCCTGGCGTCTGCCCGGCAGGGGCCGACCCTGCACACAGCGGGTGGGAGGAGGGTGAGGCAGAAGCGTGCCGCTGGGTGACTGGGAGCAGGCTCCTCTGCCGCCTCTGCCCCCCAGGCCCGCCTGGCGCTACCTGTGGTGCCCTCCGTGGAGACGGGCCCCAGGCGCTTCCCTTCGTGGAGGCCGTAGAGGAAGAACTTGTAGGCGGTGCTGGGCTCCAGGCCTGACACGTGCACCGTGTGCTGGTCCCCACCCACGAGCAAGGCCTGGGGCTGCCTGTCCGCGTCCCAGTACTGCACCACGAAGGAGTCGAAGGGGCCCCGAGCCACCGTCCATGCGAGGCGCAGGGAGTCCGGGGTGCTGTCGGTCACGGCCAGCTCCCCCAGGCGGGGCCCTCCGGGGGTGTCGGGGGCCCCTGTGGCAGCTTGCCAGGGGGCGGGTGTGTCCTCTTCTGGGGCTGGGAGAGAAGCCCGGGGAGAAGCTGAGGGTGTATATGCATGTCTGTGTGCATGTGAGTGCATGTCTGTGCGTGTGTATTTGCATGTGTGCATGTGCGTGTGCACACAGCAGGCCCTCCCGACTCCATTGCATCGGCTCCTGAGTGGCCCAGGGCTGAGGTGGGGACCTAGCCATGGAAGCCAGGTGGGGAGAAGGGAGGGACTGAGGCCCTTCTAGCATCTTTTTTCTCTTGAATCTGCCACCTCCCTGCACTGGCTGAGGCCTGCCACCCTGGGTCTCCCCGGGCACCAACACTGTGGCTACGACTGCTCTGGGGGCTCCTTTGCCAGGTCTGAATTGGAGCTGCCAACCATCTCCACCTGTGTCTCCCCCTGCCCCCACTCCGTGCTGAGGGCCTGGGGATGGAGGTGGCTGGTGAAGAAGGGACAAGCCTGGGGGGCTGCTGCTGCTCCAGGGGGGCTACGGGCAGAGGGGCGATTCTTAGAGCTGCCTATACCTCCGTCCTGGCAACTTCCGGGGCGTGAGGGTCTGGGAAAGGGTCCCTGAAGTGTGGCTCCAAGGACAGCGCCTGAGGGGACAGACCGGCTACCGGAGGCGGGCCCAGACTCCTGCCCCGCCCTCGCCGCTGTGGGCAGGTGCGGGACATGCATAAAAGAGCACCTTGTGAGAGAGGGGTGGTGGGGCTGCTGAGAAGGGCCTTGCTTTCCCCTGACCCCCAGGCCCCGGGCAGAGAGGTGGCCAGAGCTGAGACGAGTTCCAAGCTCACGGCTGCCACCGCCCGGCCTGACCACTGCCTTGCTCTCTATCGGCCTGGCCTCCTCCCACCCACTTCCCCATCCCTGCGAGAAGCCCTGGCCTCATAGTGGGTGAGGAGGGGCGGGAGGAGCCGGGGCAGAGCCGGGAGACCTGCTGCCGTGGGTGCGGATGGGGCTCGCGGAGAAGTCTGTCTCCAGTCCCCTCGCGAGTGTCCAGCGAAGAGAATTATGGAGCCCGAGGGCCCTGGCCATGCGCCCCCCCTTGTCTGTGGCTCGTGGTCCTGGGAGTGGGGGAGGGTCCGAGACCCCTCTGCCCTCCCTGTGACACCAGACGCCCCCCATGTGGATGTTTACTGAGCTCCAGGAGCGTATTCGTAACCACTATGCAGGTGTGGGGACAGGGTCGGGGGGAATGGCTTGCCATGGCCACACAGCTGGCCACTGGGGTCTGAACGCAGGTCGGCTGGGCCCCGCAGGCTGGGCCCTTACGGCATCGCCAGCAGGGAGCGCGACGTGTGAAGTGCTCAGAGCAGGCCGGGCAGGGCAGGGGCGGAGGGTTTGCTTTGGGTGCTGGGACTGCCGCGCCTGGGCCAGCTCTGGGGAAGGTGGGAGCAGGGCTGGGCTCACCTGTGGTGCCCTCAGCGGCAACGGGGCCCAGCTGCTTCCCGCCTGCCAGCCCGTAGAGCAGGAACCTGTACTTCCGGTGGGGCTCCAGGCCGCCGATGGTGGCCTCGCGCTGGTCTGCGGCCACGGGCACCACCCGGGGCTGCCCGTGTCTGTCCTTGTACTGGACCTTGAAGGAGTCGAAATTGCCCTGGGGGACCGTCCACGAGAGGCCCACGGAGTCCGGGGTCACGCTGGTCACTGTCAGCTCCCCCAGGCGCGGAGGTTTTGTGTCTGGGACTGGAAAGGAGAGAGAGGTGCATGGAGAATGACAGGAAAGGTGACAGAAGCAGAGCTTCCTCTGGGCCACGTGTCAGGAAGGGGAAGCAGAGGAGAGACAAGAGAGCAGCCGGAAGCCCAGCCGCCATGCACCAAAAGGTCACCGGTTCAATTCCATCAGGGCACACGCCCCGGGCTGCGGGCTCGATCCCCAGTGGGGGGGGTGCAGGAGGCAGCCCGTTGATGTTTCTCTCTCTCTCTCCCTCCCCTTCCTCTCTTTCTAGAATCAATAAAATCACTGGGGATGGAGCCTGCAACCCGGGCATGTGCCTGACCAGAATCAAACCTGGGACCATTCAGTCCTCAGACCGATGCTCTATCCACTGAGCCACACCAGCTGGGCAATAAAAATATATTTTAAAAAAAGGAGCCCGGGAAGAAGCGGGTGTCCCTCGGGATAAGCGGTCGGGGAGAGGGACGGGGTGACGGCGGGGAGAGCGCGGGACTGGATCTCACCGACCTGGTGAATACATGGGTCTGAGGCCCCAGGTCTGGAGCAGTGATGGCGAACCTATGCCTCTGACACAAACTCATTTTTTTGGTTGATTTTTCTTTGTTAAATGGCATTTAAAAATATAAAATAAATATCAAAAATATAAGTCTTTGCTTTACTATGGTTGCAAATATCAAAAAATTTCTCTATGTGACACGGCACCAGAGTTAAGTTAGGGTTTTTCAGAATGCCGACACGCGGAGCTCAGAAGGTTCGCCATCGCTGGTCTGGAGTGTGGAGCACAGAACATGACCTTCCCACGGTGGCCACAAGGGGGCGGAGGTGGCCTTGGGCCGCACTCACGGGTCTTAGCGTCCGCAGAGAGTGGGCCGTGCCTTTTCGCATCCTGCACTCCAAAGAGGAGGAATTTGTACTTGCGGGCAGGGGCCAGGCCCGAGACGGTGACCTCCCGGAGGTCTCCGCCCACGGGCACTGCCTGCGGCAGCCCCTGCTCGTCCCTGTACTGGACCAGGAAGGAGTCGAAAGGGCCCTGGGCCACTGTCCAGGACAGGTGCACCGAGTCTGAGGTCACGGCGGCCACAGCCAGCTCCTCCAGGCGGGGTGCCACCGGGGGCTCTGAGGGCAGGGCGGCTGGAACAGAGCAGAAGAGGCTCAGGGTTCAATGGCCTGGGAGAGGGTCCTTTCTGCCTACGAAACAAACATTGGAGCAAACTGCTCTCAGGTGAGCACGGGGCCCAGGACAGGGGCAGGTGCTGCTACCCCCGCAGCCCCACTGTGGGGAGGGCGGCAGAGGGAGCAATCAGCGTGATACAGGGCCTGTGCGTGCCTTCGGAGCAGGAGCAGGACCCAGGCGCAGATGCAGACGGCCTGACTCCACCCACCGGGGAGCCACCCCACGGCCCAGCCAGGGGCCTGGGGAGGCCGCACAGCAACACAGCAGCAGCCAGAGGCTCCCATCCAGGGGAAGGAACAAAGCTGCTGGATGAGGCCGGGGTCCAGGACACTGATTGACTGACCACAGTCTCCACCATCCTCACACATTGGAGGAAGGAGAGGGCCCGGCCCTGTGTGAGGAGTGCGGGCCACAGAGAGGAGCAGAGCAAACTGCGTCCTGCCCCACTCACCGGTCAGGCCCAGGGTGGACGCGGGGCCCACGCGCCGCCCCCCGTGCAGGCCGTACAGGTGCATCTTGTACTTGCGCCCCGGCTCCAGGCCCCGCACGGTGACCTCGCTCTCCTCACCCCCGACACGCACCACCTGGGGACGCCCTTCTCTGTCCTTGTACTGGACGGTGAAGGCGTCGAAGTGGCCCCGGGGGACGGTCCAGGACAGGCTCAGCGAGTCCGGGGAGGATCCCGTCACCGTCAGCTCCCCCAGCAGGGGCTCCTTGGGGGGCTCTGGGGCCTCTGTGCTGGGTTCTGCGGGGCTGGCGGTCTCCTCCTCTGCAGCTGAGAAGCACAGACACAGGGCGGGTAAGGCAGGCTCCATGGAGATGTCCGGGTCTCCTCCCAAGCCCTGGTCATGGCCGGGCCCTGGTCACTTCAGGGAGCCCCTCGGGGCAGCCTCACTGACATGCCCGGAGCCTTGGGGTCGGCTGTGGCCGCAGCCCCCGCACAGCCCAGGGGCCCTTCTCTGCCCAGGGCCCCGCTGGTGCTCAGGGAGCCCAGGGGAGGCACAAGGGCACCACGGCTCAGCCTCGAGCAGAGGGGCCCCTGCGCCCCCTCAGCCATCACGAGTGTCATCTCCCGCAGGTCCCCCCGGGGTTCCCACCACCCACTCACCTGTCACCCCGGTGGCAGAGGCGGGGCCCTGGCGCTGGCCGTCGTGGAAGCCATACAGGTGCATCTTGTACTTGTGGTCCGGCTCCAGGCCCGAGATGGTGACCCCGTCCTCGTGTCCCGGCACCCGGACCGCCTTGGGCTGCCCGTCCCCGTTCTTGTACTGGACCAGGAAGTGGTCAAACTGGCCCTGGGGGACGGTCCAGGACAGGCTCAGCGCGTCCGGGGAGGATCCCGTCACCGTCAGCTCCCCCAGCAGGGGCTTCACAGGAGGCTCTGGGGTCGTGGTGGGTGGGACTTGGGTGGTCACAGCTTCGTAGTCGGGAGCTGGACGAGCTGGACAGAGACATGGGGGACAGGTGAGGTCTCCTCAGCCCTCAGCGCAGCACACACAGGGTCCATTGCAAACATAAGGCAATAAGGACCCGAATCTGCCGTCCACAGCGGCTCCAACTCCAATTCTTTCTGGTCCCTCTAATGTCTCCTTCAACCCCTCACAGTCAGCCTTCCTCCCCCATCTCCCCACCACCCACCAGCAAACCTTCGACCCCCTCCCCAAGCACCCGCCTCCCCGACCCCACCAGCACCTCTGCGACTCCCCCTCAGCACAGGCTCTGCTCTCCTCTGAACACGGGCCCCGAGGTCCCTGTGCCCGGGGCTCCCGCCACTGGGCCTGGGTGGCATCTCACTCGCTTTGGCTCAGGACTTTGCTCCCAAACAGCTCAGACCCGACCAGAAACCTGCAGTCTTCCTGGCCTGCTCCCTCCTCCGTCCTCAGCTGCCCCGGGCCTCACTCTCTCTGAACTTCTCTCCCATCTCCCCGCCCCACACACCTGCAGCCCAACCTCCTGGCCTGGGCCACCCCCACCTCTCACCTGTGCTCCCCCCTCCCTCCTGCTGTCCCTGCCTCCCTCCCATCCCTCTGCGCAGCGTCCAGACGGGACCAGAAACGCACGGTGATGGAGTCGGTCTTACTTAAAGCTTCACAACCCTGTGCTCCCGGAGGAGCCCTGCTGCCTGAGCTGCCCACTCTGCACCCCTTCTCGGGACTGTCCCCCACTCAGAGCACTTCATCCAAACCCTCTCGGGTGCCCCGTGCTCCCAGTTCCCAGGCCTTTGCACCAGCTGTGGCGTCGTGGATGTGACACACTCTCCGTCCTATCGTGCTGTCACCATGCCCACACCTGCCTGAGCGCAGGCCTCAGCTGCCCTGGGGGGGCCGTGGACAGGCTCCTAGGCCTCGCAGCCCAGGCCTGGCCTGACCCAGGGCTTCCTGTCGTATCCACCCCCCTTTGCCTGTTCTGTCGGTTCACAGCCTGTCTCCCCACGACGAGGAGCCCCATTAGGATAAAACCTTGTCTCTCTACCAAGTTCAAGGTCGACCCATGAACTCCCGTGGCTGGGCTCAGGGCGCCCCATCTGGCTGACCCACTGCAGTCCTAAGTCTGGTGATGTCTGAACCATGAGGTTGGGGCGCTGGCAAGACGCTGCTCTCTGAGCACCTCCCAGCCTGTCAGGGCTCCAGTCGCCCCTGAGGCCCAGCAGGTGGGGAAGACCAGGGATGCGGGTAGGACTCCCTCCCACAAGTTCTAAGGAGTGTCCGATCCCTTGGCTGTGAGGTGCGGCCAGAGGCCCCTGTGGGGGAAGCGACTCTCCAGCCCCAGCCCCCCTGCCCCAGCCTCACCCTCTACCAGACCCCAGGCCAGCGGCGGATTCTGCGGGGGGTCCGGGGGGAGTGGTACACCGGTATTTCCACGAAGATGGTAACAAAGGGAGAGTCTTCCAGGGCCCTCCTCCCTGCCCTGTGGCCCCGCCCCACTCACCGGTCAGGCCCAGGGTGGACGCGGGGCCCACGCGCCGCCCCCCGTGCAGGCCGTACAGGTGCATCTTGTACTTGCGCCCCGGCTCCAGGCCCCGCACGGTGACCTCGCTCTCCTCACCCCCGACACGCACCACCTGGGGCCGCCCGTCCCTGTCCTTGTACTGGACGGTGAAGGCGTCGAAGTGGCCCCAGGGGACGGTCCAGGACAGGCTCAGCGAGTCCGGGGAGGATCCCGTCACCGTCAGCTCCCCCAGCAGGGGCTCCTCGGGGGGCTCTGGGGCCTCCGTGCTGGGTTCTGCGGGGCTGGCGGTCTCCTCCTCTGCAGCTGAGAAGCACAGACACAGGGCGGGTAAGGCAGGCTCCATGGAGATGTCCGGGTCTCCTCCCAAGCCCTGGTCATGGCCGGGCCCTGGTCACTTCAGGGAGCCCCTCGGGGCAGCCTCACTGACATGCCCGGAGCCTTGGGGTCGGCTGTGGCCGCAGCCCCCGCACAGCCCAGGGGCCCTTCTCTGCCCAGGGCCCCGCTGGTGCTCAGGGAGCCCAGGGGAGGCACAAGGGCACCACGGCTCAGCCTCGAGCAGAGGGGCCCCTGCGCCCCCTCAGCCATCACGAGTGTCATCTCCCGCAGGTCCCCCCGGGGCTCCCACCACCCACTCACCTGTCACCCCGGTGGCAGAGGCGGGGCCCTGGCGCTGGCCGTCGTGGAAGCCATACAGGTGCATCTTGTACTTGTGGTCCGGCTCCAGGCCCGAGATGGTGACCCCGTCCTCGTGTCCCGGCACCCGGACCGCCTTGGGCTGCCCGTCCCCGTTCTTGTACTGGACCAGGAAGTGGTCAAACTGGCCCTGGGGGACGGTCCAGGACAGGCTCAGCGAGTCCGGGGAGGATCCCGTCACCGTCAGCTCCCCCAGCAGGGGCTTCACAGGAGGCTCAGGGGTCGTGGTGGGTGGGACTTGGGTGGTCACAGCTTCGTAGTCGGGAGCTGGACGAGCTGGACAGAGACATGGGGGACAGGTGAGGTCTCCTCAGCCCTCAGCGCAGCACACACAGGGTCCATTGCAAACATAAGGCAATAAGGACCCGAATCTGCCGTCCACAGCGGCTCCAACTCCAATTCTTTCTGGTCCCTCTAATGTCTCCTTCAACCCCTCACAGTCAGCCTTCCTCCCCCATCTCCCCACCACCCACCAGCAAACCTTCGACCCCCTCCCCAAGCACCCGCCTCCCCGACCCCACCAGCACCTCTGCGACTCCCCCTCAGCACAGGCTCTGCTCTCCTCTGAACACAGGCCCCGAGGTCCCTGTGCCCGGGGCTCCCGCCACTGGGCCTGGGTGGCATCTCACTCGCTTTGGCTCAGGACTTTGCTCCCAAACAGCTCAGACCCGACCAGAAACCTGCAGTCTTCCTGGCCTGCTCCCTCCTCCGTCCTCAGCTGCCCCGGGCCTCACTCTCTCTGAACTTCTCTCCCATCTCCCCGCCCCACACACCTGCAGCCCAACCTCCTGGCCTGGGCCACCCCCACCTCTCACCTGTGCTCCCCCCTCCCTCCTGCTGTCCCTGCCTCCCTCCCATCCCTCTGCGCAGCGTCCAGACGGGACCAAAAACACACGGTGATGGAGTCGGTCTTACTTAAAGCTGCACAACCCTGTGCGCCCGGAGGAGCCCTGCTGCCTGAGCTGCCCACTCTGCACCCCTTCTCGGGACTGTCCCCCACTCAGAGCACTTCATCCAAACCCTCTCGGGTGCCCCGTGCTCCCAGTTCCCAGGCCTTTGCACCAGCTGTGGCGTCGTGGATGTGACACACTCTCCGTCCTATCGTGCTGTCACCATGCCCACACCTGCCTGAGCGCAGGCCTCAGCTGCCCTTGGAGGGCCGTGGACAGGCTCCTAGGCCTCGCAGCCCAGGCCTGGCCTGACCCAGGGCTTCCTGTCGTATCCACCCCCCTCTGCCTGTTCTGTCGGTTCACAGCCTGTCTTCCCACGACCAGGAGCCCCATTAGGATAAGACCTTGTCTCTCTGCCAAGTTCAAGGTCGACCCATGAACTCCCGCGGCTGGGCTCAGGGCGCCCCATCTGGCTGACCCACTGCAGTCCTAAGTCTGGTGATGTCTGAACCATGAGGTTGGGGCGCTGGCAAGACGCTGCTCTCTGAGCACCTCCCAGCCTGTCAGGGCTCCAGTCGCCCCTGAGGCCCAGCAGGTGGGGAAGACCAGGGATGCGGGTAGGACTCCCTCCCACAAGTTCTAAGGAGTGTCCGATCCCTTGGCTGTGAGGTGCGGCCAGAGGCCCCTGTGGGGGAAGCGACTCTCCAGCCCCAGCCCCCCTGCCCCAGCCTCACCCTCTACCAGACCCCAGGCCAGCGGCGGATTCTGCGGGGGGTCCGGGGGGAGTGGTACACCGGTGTTTCCACGAAGATGGTAACAAAGGGAGAGTCTTCCAGGGCTCTCCTCCCTGCCCTGTGGCCCCGCCCCACTCACCGGTCAGGCCCAGGGTGGACGCGGGGCCCACGCGCCGCCCCCCGTGCAGGCCGTACAGGTGCATCTTGTACTTGCGCCCCGGCTCCAGGCCCCGCACGGTGACCTCGCTCTCCTCACCCCCGACACGCACCACCTGGGGCCGCCCTTCTCTGTCCTTGTACTGGACGGTGAAGGCGTCGAAGTGGCCCCAGGGGACGGTCCAGGACAGGCTCAGCGAGTCCGGGGAGGATCCCGTCACCGTCAGCTCCCCCAGCAGGGGCTCCTCGGGGGGCTCTGGGGCCTCCGTGCTGGGTTCTGCGGGGCTGGGGGTCTCTTCCTCTGCAGCTGAGAAGCACAGACACAGGGCGGTTAAGGCAGGCTCCATGGAGATGTCCGGGTCTCCTCCCAAGCCTTGGTCATGGCCGGGCCCTGGTCACTTCAGGGAGCCCCTCGGGGCAGCCTCACTGACATGCCCGGAGCCTCGGGGTCGGCTGTGGCCGCAGCCCCCGCACAGCCCAGGGGCCCTTCTCTGCCCAGGGCCCCGCTGGTGCTCAGGGAGCCCAGGGGAGGCACAAGGGCACCACGGCTCAGCCTCGAGCAGAGGGACCCCTGCGCCCCCTCAGCCATCACGAGTGTCATCTCCCGCAGGTCCCCCCGGGGTTCCCACCACCCACTCACCTGTCACCCCGGTGGCAGAGGCGGGGCCCTGGCGCTGGCCGTCGTGGAAGCCATACAGGTGCATCTTGTACTTGTGGTCCGGCTCCAGGCCCGAGATGGTGACCCCGTCCTCGTGTCCTGGCACCTGGACTGCCTTGGGCTGCCCGTCCCCGTTCTTGTACTGGACCAGGAAGTGGTCAAACTGGCCCTCGGGGATGGTCCAGGACAGGCTCAGCGAGTCCGGGGAGGATCCGGTCACCGTCAGCTCCCCGAGGCGAGGCTTCACGGGGGGGCTGGCAGGGGGCTCGGCTTTGGGGGCTGGAAGAGAGGCAGACAAGGTCTCCTGTTGCTGGAAGAGCTGGGAGACCCCCACCCTCCTGGTTCAGGCCAGAAGGGGCTGGCTCTGGCCTGACAAGACCCCTTTCTGGTTATGATCACCCAAGTCTTTCTATTTGGTCCGTCCGACAGGCCAGCCTCCTGCCTCGGAGCCTTGCCTGTTCCCTCTGCCCACATGCTCCTTCCCCAGATGCCTTCATGGCTCATGTCGATGCTCCTTTAAGTCCTGTTCAAATGTCACTTTCTCTTCAGGACCTTCCACTTATTTAAAGTTTCAATCTTCCCAATTGGAACCCACCTTCCTTTTTAAAAAATTATTATTTTTTAAAATAATTCCTTATTGCCGAAACCGGTTTGGCTCAGTGGATAGAGCGTCGGCCTGCGGACTGAAGGGTCCCAGGTTCGATTCCGGTCAGGGGCATGTACCTGGGTTGCGGGCACATCGCCAGTGGGAGATGTGCAGGAGGCAGCTGATCGATGTTTCTCTCTCATCGATGTTTCTAACTCTCTATCTCTCTCCCTTCCTCTCTGTAAAAAATCAATAAAATATATATATATATATATATATATATATATATATATATATATATATATAAATAATTCCTTATTGTTGAAAGTATTAATAGGTCCCCGTTTCCCCTCATAGACCTCCTCCAGCCTGCCCCTGCTCCCCACCCAGGCCCTCACCACCCCACTGTCCGTGTCCATGGGCCATGCATATATGCATGAAGGTCTTGGTTGATTACCTCCCACCCTCCTCTGCCTTCTCTCTGAGGTCTCCCACTCTGTTCCAAGCTTCCTTGACTCTGGATCCACTCTGTTCATCAGTTTATTTTTGTTGATAAACATATGAGTGAGATCATGTGATACTTGTCTTTCTCTGGCTTATTTCACTTAGCATGATACTCTCCAGGTCCCTTCATGCTGTCTCAAAGGGTAAGAGATCCTTCTTTTTTACTGCTGCATAGTATTCCACAATGTAAATGTACCACAGCTTTTTACCCATTCATCTACTGATGGGCACTTGGGCTGTTTCCAGGTCTTAGTTATTGTAAATTGTGCTGCTATGAACATAGGGGTGCATACATTCTTTCTGATTGGTGTTTCTGATTTCTTAGGCTATATTCCTAGAAGTGGAGTCACTGGGTCAGATGGCAGTTCCCCAATTTTTGAGGAAACTCCATACTGTTTTCCATAGTGGCTGTACCAGTCTGCATTCCCACCAGCAGTGCACAGGGGTTCCCTTTCTCCACATCCTCTCCAGCACTTGTCGTTTGTGGATTTGTTGATGGTAGCCAGTCTGACAGGTGTGAGGTGATAACTTATTGTTGTTTTAATTTGCATTTCTCTGATGATCAGTAACTTTGAGCATTTTTTTCATATGTCTCTTGGCCATCCGTATGTCCACTTTGGAGAAGTGTCTATTTGGGTCCTTTGCCAATTACTTAATTGGATTGTTTGTCCTCCTTTTGTTAAGTTGTATGAGTTCCTTATATGTTTTGGAGATTAACCCTTTATTAGATGAATCATTGCCAAATATGTTCTCCCATGCAGTGGGCTTTCTTGTTGTTTTGTTGATGGTTTCTTTTGCTGTGCAGAAGCTTATTTTGACGTAGTCCCATTTGTTTATTTTCTCTTTAGTTTCCTTTGCCCTAGGAGATATATCTGTAAACATGCTATGAGAGATGTCTGAGATTATGTTGCCTATGGTTTCTTCTAGGATTTCTATGGTTTCACGACTTACATTTAAGTCTTTTATCCATTTTGAGTTTATTCTTGTGTATGCTGTAAGTTGGTGGTCTAGTTTCATTTTTTTTTTTTTTTGGCATGTATCTGTCCAATTTTCCCAGCAGCATTTATTGAAGAGATTGTCTTGACTCCATTATATGCTCTTGCCTCCTTTGTCAAATATTAATTAAGCATAATGGCTTAGTTCGATTTCTGGGGTCGCTGTTCTGCTCCATTGATCTATATGCCTGTTCTTGTGCCAGTACCTGGCTGTTTTGATTATGGTGGCTTTGTAGTATAACTTGATATCTGGTATAGCAATTCCTCCAATTTTGTTCTTCTTTCTCAAGATTGCTGCAGCTATTCAGGGTCTTTTTTGGTTCCATATAAATTTTTGGAGTATTTTTTCTAGATCTGTGTAATATGCTGTTGGTATTTTAATAGGGATTGCATTGACTCTGTAGATTGCCTTTGGTAGCATGGACATTTTAATGAGGTTGATTCTACCAATCCATGAACACAGTATATTTTTCCACTTGTTTATATCTCCTATCTCTTTTTTCAAATTCCTATAGTTTTCTGAGTACAAGTCTTTTACCTCCTTGATTCAGTTTATTCCTAACTATCTTATTTTTTTGTTGTTGCAATGGTAAATGGGATAGTTTGTTTGATTGTTTCTCTTTCTGGGAATTCATTATTGGTGTATAAAACAGCCATTGATTTTTGGGTGTTGATTTTGTATCCTGCTACATTGCCAAATTCATTTATTAAATCTAGTAGTTTTTTGGTGGAGTTTTTAGAGTTTTCTGTGTACAATATCATGCCATCTGCAAATGAGTTTTAGTTCCTCCTTTCCAATGTGGATGCCTTTTATTTCTTCTTGTCTGACTGCTGTGACTAGGACCATGGTTGGCAAACTGCGGCTCGTGAGCCACATGCGGCTCTTTGGCCCCTCGAGTGTGGCTCTTCCTAAGCCTTAGGAGTACCCTAATTAAGTTAATAACAATGTACCTACCTATATAGTTTAAGTTTAAAAAATTTGGCTCTCAAAAGAAATTTCAATCGTTGTACTGTTGATATTTGGCTCTGTTGACTAATGAGTTTGCCGACCACTGGACTAGGACTTCCAGTATTATGTTGAATAAGAGTGGTAAAATCAGACATCCTGTTTTATTCCTGTTCTTAGGGGAAATGATTTTAGTTTTTGTCCATTGAGTATGATGTTCGCTGTAGGTTTCTCATGTATGGTCTTTATATACTCCCTCTATTCCCACTTTGTTGATAGTTTTTATCAAAAATGAGTGTTGGGTTTTGTCAAATGCTTTTTCTGCGTCTATTGATATGATCGTGATTTTTGCCTTTCAATTTTTTATGTAATATATCATTTTTATTGATTTGCAAATATTGTACCAGCTTTGCATCCCTGGAAGAATTCCCACTTAGTCATGGTGTATGATCTTGTTAATATATTGCTGGACCCAATTTGCTAATATTTTGTTGAGGGTTTTAGCAAATACTAGTATGTTCATCAGGGATATTGGCCTGTAATTCTCTGTCTTTATCTGGTTTTGGAATTAGGATAAAGATGGCCTCATAAAAAGAGTTTGGAAGTGTTCCTTCCTCTTGTATTTTTGGGAATAGTTTGAGGAGGATAGGTGTTAGTTGTTCTTTGAAGGTTTGGTAAAACTTCCCTGTAAAGCTGTCCAGACCTGAGCTTTTGTTTGCTGGGAGGTTTTTTTTTTTTTTTACTGCTTCTATTTCCTTAGTTGTTATTGGCCTATTCAAGTTTTCTGATTCTTTCTGATTCAAATTTGGAAGATTGTATTTTTCTAGGAATCTGTCCATTTCATCCACATTGTCCAGCTTGTTGGGCATATAGTTGTTCATAATATTTTCTTACAATCCTTTGTATTTCTGTGGTGTCAGTGGTTAATTCACCACTTTCATTTCTGATTTTGAGTCCTCTCTCTTTGTTTCTTGATGAGTTTGGCTAATGATTCATCAATGTTGTTTATCCTTTCAAAAAACCAGCTCTTGGTGTCATTGATTTCTTTGTATTGTTTTTTTTAGTCTTGATGTCATTTATTTCTGCTCTAATCTTTATTATTTCATTCCTTCTACTTACTCTGGGCTTTCTTGTTCTCTTTCTAGTTCTTTAAATTGTAGGGTTAAATAGTTAATTGTTAAAATTTTTTGAGGTAATCCTGTAGAGCTATGAATTTTCCTCTCAGGACTGCTTTTGCTGTGTCCCATGTCCCAGAGATTTCAAGTTGTTGTGTGTTCATTTTCATTTACTTTCAGGAATTTTTTTTATTTCTTTCTTGATCTCATTGGTAACCTATTCATTGTTTAATAACATGCTATTTAGCCTCCATGTGTTTGAATGTTTTTCAGTGTTTTTACTATGTTGATTTCTAATTCCATTGCACTGTGATCTGAGAAGATGCTGGATATGATTTCAATCTTCTTGAACTTGTAGAGACTTGCTTTGTATCATAATACGTGGTCTATCTTTGTGAATGTTCCATGTGCACTTGAGAAGATTGTATGTTCTGCAGCTTTGGTGTGAATTGTTCTATAAATTTCAATTAAATCCATCTGATCCAGTGTGTCCTTTAGAGTCACTGTTTCCTTGTTGATTTTTTGTCTGGAAGATCTGTCCAGTGAAGTCAGTGGAGGTGTTAAAGTCCCCTACTATTATTGTATTGTTGTTGATCTCTCCCTTAAAGTCCCCTAGAAGTTCTTTTTTGTATATTTCGGTGCTCTTATATTGGGTGCATATATGTTTACCAGGGTTATATCCTTTTGTTGTATCAGTCCCTTTAGTATTATGTAGTGACCTTTGTTGTCTCTTGTGATGGCCTTCATTTTGAAGTCTATTTTGTCAGATATGAGTATTGCTACACCAGCTTTTTTTCACTTCCATTTGCATGGAAAAAAATTTCCATCCCTTCACTCTCATCCTGTGTGTGTCTTTTGTTCTGAAGTGGGTCTCTTGTAGACAGCATATAATTGGGTCATGTTTTGATGGGCACATTTAATACATTTTCATTTAAGATTATTATCGATAGGTGCTTATTTATGCTATTCTACTTCTGTATGCTTAGCGTTCTCTACTTCTTCTCATTACAGTAGTCCTTTTAGCATTTCTTTCTTTTCTTCTTTTTTTTTTTTTTACAGAGAGGAAGGGAGAGGGATAGAGAGTTAGAAACATCGATGAAAGAGAAACACTGATCAGCTGCCTCCTGCACATCCCCCACTGGGGATGTGCCCGCAACCAAGGTACATGCCCTTGATCGGAATCAAACCTGGGACCCTTCAGTCCACAGGCTGATGCTCTATCCACTGAGCCAAACCAGTTAGGGCTTAGCATTTCTTTTAATGCTGGTTGGTGGTGATGAACTCCTTTAGCCTTTTTATTTTATTTTTTTTGTCTGGGAAGCTTTTTTTTTGACTATTATGAATGATAGCTTTGCTGGATAGAGTAATCTTGGTCTCAGATCCTTGCTTTCTGTTGCTTTGAGTAGTTCATGCCATTCCCTTCTGGCCTGTAGAGTTTTCTGATGAGTAATTGGGTGTCAGCCTTATGGGAACTCCTTTGTAGGTAACAGTTTGCTTTTCTCTTGCTGCCTTAAGATTCTCTCTTTAATTTTTGGCATTTTAATTATGATGTAACTTTTTGAGTTTATTCTTATTTGGGACTCTCTGTGCCTCCTGAACTTGTGTGACTTTTTCCTTTACCAGGTTAGAAAAGTTTTCTGACATTATTTCTTCAAACACCTTCTCTATCCTTCTCCCTTTCTGCCTCTTCTGGCACACCTGCTATTCTAATATTGTTATGTTTCATGTTGTCCCACAGCTTCCTTAAGCTGTCCTCCTGTTTCTTAATGGTTCTTCCTTTTTTGGTTCTCTGCTTTTTCTACCCTGTGTTCTAACTCACTGATTCAATCCTCAGCTTCCCCTAATCTGCTGTGTGTTCCTTCCAATGTGTTCTTTGTTAGTGCTATGTCAGTCTTTGTGTTTTCATAGTTACTATATCTTTTCTCATGCTTTTGAGCATCTTTACCATCATTATCCTGAACTTTATATCAGATAAATTTCTTATCTCCATTTCATTTCTCTCTTCTTTTGGAGACTTCTCTTGTTCTTTCATTTGGGGTTGTTTTCTTTGTCTCTTCATTTGGGCTACCTGTTTGGGTTTATGACTCTGTATTAGGTAGATCTGCTACGCCTCTCAATCTCTAGTGCAGGATGGTGCCAAGCTGTTTCTGACTAATTTATCTTAGGCAAAGACTCGAAGTCTCCAGAGACCACCTCTGTCTACAGACTGATAGGATTCGGTCTTGAGTTGCCCTCAGGCAATTGTCCACAGGTGTGGCAAGAGGTTTTTTCTATAGGATGGTGCAATGGCTTCTGCTTGGAGGGCTAATGGTTATTCTCAGTCTCTTAATGGGTTTTTCCAATATGGTGGGTCAACTGTCTTCCCCCAGTCAAGGCCACCTGTATAGCAAATGTCCTGCATGAGAAAGATCACCTCCGCACAGTGAGGGATGACTCAGCATGGTTATCTGGGGTGTCTGCCTTCTGAGCTCTAACCCCAGGAGCCCCAAAGCTGGCTTCTGTTCACACAGCTGCAGTCCACTCTGCCAGAGCACAAGGAGTGGCTCCACAGGGAATTTTGTGGCGTTGGCCCTTTAAGAGCGTGCCTGCATTTCCAGCTGTCTCTCCCTGGCAGACAGCAACCCTGCTGCTTCTCCCAGCCAGATGTTGTGTGGGTACCCTTCTCAGTTTCTGGTGCTTTCTGCTGGGGGCCCAGCTTGGGGATTTGACCCCAGAGTTCTCAGTGGCAACCCCCCACATCTGAGATATCTCTCCAGGACTTCAGCTGCTGTCTGTGGGAGCCGAGCCAGCCTTTTGCGCCTCCGGCCCTTCCCATCGTCTCTATGTTGTCTCCACTTTCCGTCCTCTATAGCAGGGGTTTTCTCCAGGGCGTCCTCCATTAATTATTCTGGAGGTTTTCCCCGTATTTCAGTTTGTAATTCCAGTTGGTCTGGGAGCATGTCTATACAACATCCACTTATTCCACCGCCATTTAAAATCCGCCTACCTGCCTTCTTTATTTAGACCAAATTTCAGCAACAACTTGGAAAACAACACATATGAAACAACCAGGAAACTGTAGCACTGACTGATACTTGAGGAAACTAAGGAATGACTGGTCATTTTTAAGGCACAATCATTATCATGTGGTCATTTTTTAAACAGCCTTCTTAAAGAGAGGACTGTAAATATGGTGAGGAAGTGCAGTGTCTGGGATGAGTGTAAAAACACAGCAAATGGTCTACCCTATAA